AAAAGAAAAGAAAATATTCTATTATCAGCTGATACATTCTCAACTTGTATTTTCACCAGAGTTTTACTGTAATTATAAATTTAAAAATGGGGAAGCTGTATCAGTGTTCTCAGAACTGTCCAAGTGGCATCATGGTTTGGAATTTTCTTCTTTCTAAGTTCTATTCTTGCCAAAGACATCTGTTCAGAATCTACAAGTGACTGTGAGTTCCTCTTTGATTTGTTTTTATAGATGGCCTGATATAAAGTAACTTGTAAGTTTTTTTATCTGTAACTTTAAATAAACTTTAAGCTAATTGTATCATCAGACACATGGTCTTAAGCAGAATGAAGAGCTGTATCATTACGTAGAAGTTGGAGTAGGAAAAGAAAGGCAGTGGCTGGAGAGTGAAGGTGCAGGAAAAAGAGCCTTTGCTGAGGGATCAAGATACTCGTATTTGGCAAAGAGGACCTGCTTTCTACTAAGGTCAACTGTAGTTGAAATCATCATTCTATTTTCAGCTTTAACCTTGGCAAAGACATTTAAGCCCTCTGTGCTTCAGTCTTCTCATGAATAAAATTGTCGCTTCTGTAGCTAAACTTCTGCATTGTGAAGTTGCCAATGGACTACAACAACTCAAATGTGCTTCTTTATGTCTCTAGGTAGTCAGAAAAACTATGTAAACCAGTTATAGCCCAAGTCAGCATGAAGCAGTAGGATCCAAACATTTAATTTTTCTCTTTAGGTAACTTCGTTTATCTTGTATTTCTCACGTTCTTTTGGGATTCTGCTTCCCTTCGGGGTTCCTCCCCAAGTAGCATCTTCTGGAAGAATAGTGGAGTTCCTGGACCGCTAGAAGCATCTTTTGCAGTGTGCTGAAGTTATTAGTTGGGGTTATTGAGAGAATTAAGGGAGATGTGTCTCCTTGGCCCTAGCCTGGTCCTTGTGGTTGGGGGGTGCACTGACTGGTTTATTTCATTCATGAACTGTTTCCGTTGATGGTATTTATTACTGACAATTATGGCAATGAGCTTGTGTTCTCTTTGTCCTCAGCTCACTGAGGTCTTTGTACTCTCTTTCCATTGATTTGGCTCCACCTTGTTACCCCTTAGGAGTGTCTGAACTCCTTAACTCCAATTAGAGTGTTCTGCCCTTCAAACCCCAGTTCTAAGAACTCTCATCCTAATTACAGCAGCTACCTCTGACAAGCTCTCAGGTAGAACTCAGAGTTGCTATTAAATTTACTTGACATGCTTCTCTCTCCAGTTCTGACAGGTAGTCTCTTTCCAAAGTCCCAAAGATAGAGAAGGGGCCAGATCTCCTCATTTGGAGTTTACCCAATATACCTGTGTTCTTTGGAAAGAAGACTGGAGAAGGTCTATCGGATCCATGTGTCATACTTCCCATACTTCCTTTCTCCCTTTTCTTTCTTCTCTCTACCTTCCTTCCTCTACCCCCTCACTCAAAAGGAAGAGCTTTTATTTCCTGTACATCGTATTCTTCTTTTCTCAATAGAGCTATAAGACTTTTCTACCTCTTACAAATAGGAGTATCTTTTTGCTCTATAGGAGAAATTCGATGATCTGATCTATCATGTTGTATGGTTTGGGTTATGAAAAGTGAGTCTAATCTTTGCTGGAGCAAATAATTATTTATTTTACTTTGATCATTTAAATTAAAATAAGGGCTAAACCATATAGTAAAATATGAGAACCTTCTCTCTTTTTTTTTAAAATGCCAAGATAACAATTTATTATAGAGAGAAGAAAAATTTCTCATCCGAAATATAGAAATCTGTACAACTTTGCCACAATCAATGTACATGAACTGTATAAATTTACACCAGTTCATAATTTACCAAATAAAAGATGACTAACAAAGTTCATAAAAAAGATGGTGGTTTGTGGAAAAGACTTTTACCCAATTAAGTACAAGGAAAGTTACAAACCAGACCTCCACTTTCTAAAAATAAAGAGGTTTACTCAGTCTTAGAAAACTACAAGCTAGCAAATGTACAGAGAGCTGGCTGGTGCTAACACCACAGTTGAGACAGTGTCTTTTTAAGGGTCTTTTAAAAGCCTGTTGCCATGGCAGATTCTGGTCACTTGCTACTTTCAAGGACAAAAACACAATACAAGGTCTGACCATTTCCCCAGGTCATGCTTACTAGTTTGTTTTTAATGTACATTTATACATATTTAAGTGCTAGGTAAAAGTCTTGACGTAAAATTTCCAGTACTACCATGTTTAAAACGTTCAGCTTTCCTATTGAGCTGCCAAAAAGGTTAACAGTAACAATTTAAGTGTAATAGTGCAAATTCCTCTGCGAGATTTACTGCAGAGAAAGGTTCTTTGAAATACAGATTTTCTTTAAAGGGACTGATGTAAAAATTCAGGTATGTCTGGAAGAAACTGAAACCACCCTAGGACTTCCCTCCCTAGCAAATAAAGTGATCATTTACTTGGACTCACAGGCTATTAAAATTAATCATTGAAAGGTACTGTCCAAACTATGGCACTGTCACTTAAAAAAAATTTTTTTTACCACTCTATCTTGTGCCAGATCTTCATAGCTGTGACATGGTTTAAATTCCATAATCCATCCCCAAGAGGAGCCCACCCAAAGCAAAAATCAAATTTATCCATCATTGTAAGATGATCCATCCACAGACTATATCTTAACATGATACAGTCATCACATTGTAGTTTTTGGTAGGGCTCCTTCTGCCCAAGAGAAGTTCCTCCTTACAGCTGATTCGGCTGTCTACCATTTGCACGTTGGTGCTGTTTTGAGTGCTACCTCCTGCTGGTGAGGCTTCATACAGCACACTGATGGAGCCATCCTCTCCAATTCTGTAGGACACTTCGCAGGGGTCAACCCAGAGTGTGAGTTCACTTGGGAGAAGCCTGAACAGCTCCTGACTGCTCGGTCCAATCCGCTGTGCTGCTTGTCCAATCAGAGGATCCATTTTATGGTTGATGCGAATACTACGGTAACCTGATCCCTTGCATGGCTTTTCTGGGAACCAGTGATGTTTATAATGTTCTGCCAGCAGCTCCTGCAGGCTCTGGCTGAAGGTCTGCAGCTGTCGCTCGTTCGTGAGCCCTTTGGTGCGGAGGAACTTGGAGATGAAGGACACGGCGGCGGCGATCTCACGTATCATGGTGGCGGCCCGGGTGTAGAAAGGATGCATGGGGACGGCGTGCGGGGGCGGCCGGGGCTCCGCAGCGCGGCCCAGACGGCGGAGCGGACACCCCGGGCTTCCTCTCCCGGCAGAAGGCTGAGAGGAAGAGAGGGCGTGAGGGGCGGACGGCTACTTTTTTTTTTCTTTCTTTAGACTAAAAAAGTTATTTTCGAGACAGGAGGCGGCAGGAGAGGAAGAGACGAGCGATGGCGGCCTGGTCACATCGCTTGGACCTCCCCAGCCGCCTCCGCCTCCGCCTCCAGCTCCCCAGCATCCGAATATCCCAACAGTTGCATTTCCAGCTCCAAGGGGAGACCATTTCCAGCTCCGAGGGGCTACTCTTTCTATTCTTTTTATTTTTTTCAAGATGGAGTCTTGCTCTGTCACTCAGGCTGGAGTGCAATGGCGCGATCTCAGCTCACTGCAACCTCCACCTCCTGGGTTCAAGTGATTCTCCTGCCTCAGCCTCCCAAGTAGCTGGGATTACAGGCATGCACCACCACGCCCGACCGAGAACCTTCTCTTTCTTATTTTATTTTCATTAGAGATAGGGTTTCACCATGTTGGCCAGGCTGGTTGCGAACTCCTGACCTTGTGATCCACTCACCTCAGCCTCCCAAAGTCCTGGGATTACAGGCGTGAGCCACCGTGCCTGGCTGAGAACCTTCTCTTTCTTACACAAATTTTGTTCCTTGCTATTAATTATTTTGCTTTATTGTTTTGCTTAGATTTCTAGGTATTTCTTTGTAATTCAACCATATATCTCACCAGGAAAAAAATAAACCGTTTTAAGAATTTACAACAAAGCTCTTCCTCCTCCTCTAGCTGTGTGAAGTGCTGGCTCCCCCTTCACCTTCTGCCATGATTTTAAGTTTACTGAGGCCTCCCCAGAAGCCAAGCAAAAGCAGAAGCGACTATGCTTCTTGTACAGCCTGCAGACCCAACAATAAAACCCTTGCTCCAAAAAGCATCCAGAAGGAACCATCCTTCATTTTATAGTCCGGTGAGTCCTGTTTCATCCTTCTGACCTGCGGAACGGTAAGGAAGTATGTGGTGGTGTTTCAAACCACTAACTAATGTTGGGGTAATATGTTACAGAAGCAATGGGAAAAACAGTACAGCTCTCTGAATTAGTGTGAAGTAGCATCTCCTTCACAGTTTTGATCTGCATTTGTCAAATGACTAATGATGTTGAGCATCGTCTCATGTGCTCTTTGGCCATTTGTTTGTTTGTTTGTTTGTTTATTTGAGACAGAGTCTCGCTTTATCGCGGGCTGGAGTGCAGTGGCCAGATCTGAGCTCACTGCTAGCTCCGCCTCCCCGGTTTACGCCATTCTCCTGCCTCAGCCTCCGGAGTAGCTGGGACTACAGGCGCCCGCCACCTCTCTTTGGCCATTTGTGTACCATCTGGGAGCAAAGTCTAGCAGGTGACAGACCATGCTGTGGTGTTTGCACCTCATTCTACAGCAATGGAAAGGAAACACGGCCATTCAGACTGTGGAGGAACTGGACATAGAGGCATCTAGAAGCACTGTGTGGGGGCCTGTGGTGGGGAGAGAGAGAGGCAGGAGGTCAGGAGGGTTCAGTGTCCAGAAAAAAGGTGAGGCTCCAGGAATGAACAGGGTTAGGATGGAGAAAAGGGCTCCAAGGTGAGCTCTGCTTAGGAGAAGGAGGGACAAGAATTAGTGATCTATGGGATCTGGAGAAGGGAGGAGGAAGCTCACGATAGAGAACCACACCCTTGTTATGACTTTAAAGAGGGGGTCACTGTGTCATCAGTGGGATGGGGATCCCAGAGGGAAAGTTGTTTGTGGGTGGGTAGATGGTTGGTTCAACTTTGGCCATGTTGAGTGGAGCAATCCTAGGAGCCATCTAGGGAGAGGTGTCTAGTGGGATGTTGGAGGGTGAGACTTCCATGACACTCATCTGGAAGATGGCCCATGACAGTGTTTACAGCTTCCACACCTGCTGCTGCCCTTGCTGCATTCCTACTGCAGGACCTCATAATAGGCGAAGGGCCCACAGCCTGTCACTGTGGCCAGATCAGGGTATAGAGAGCAGCAAACTCACCTTCCTGTGCCCTGCTAAGGGGCTGGAGGGGACTGAGGTGGAGAGAGCAGGCCTAACCTCCAAGACCTCCATGATGAGAGCTGGACTCTCGCCCAGAGTTGGGGACGGACAACAACTGGCCCATGCAGAATTCTCATCACAACTCAACTGCTGGCCTCAGGCCCTCGTAACTGGTTCAGGTCCCTCCAGCACTAGGAATCGAATTCAGCATCATGTCCCTGCCTGCCCCACACCTGCTGCTTTGGTCCTGGGGCAGCACTCACCTGAGGAAGATGAGGCAAAGACAGAGAAACAAGATCTTCACAGCTGCCTCCCTGATGGCCAAAATAAACACCTCCACCATGAGCCCTGGTTTTACTGGGAAAAATGGGACAAGGAAGATTCACCTGCTAAACCACAATTCCTTGTTTTTCCTGTTCCTGTCAGACTTGGACGTTTGTTCTTCAG